TATTTTTAATTTATTTATTTTACTTTTTAACAGATCTGTCTCGAACCCATCCAGTTTAGAATTGAATTGGTGGTTCTCTTCCCCTGATTTGTTTCAGTTTTGTGTTCTAGTAGGCATCTCTGAGAAAGTTCATGTTTATGTTGTTTTTGAGGTTTTTGAATTCTCTTCTAATTCAGATGTTTAGCGTCCAAACAAATCATTCAAGGTGGCTGTGGTTACCTTCTCTTTCCTGCTCCCCTTGCTGTGGCAGTACATTGAAACACACTACTGGAAAATGGGCTGTGCCGCTCCACAGCCTGCCGTTCTCCAGCCTCAGCCACCAACAACAAGAAGTCATTACTGAACATGTGATTTAGTGCCTCAACACACTGAGGAAAGGGGAGTCAAGTTCTCAGCTTTACTTGTCTACTAAAATCACTTGAAGTGTGCCACCTTGGTTTTAACACATTTTGACACACCACTTCCCGAGTTCACACCTTTTCCTTCTTCCATACATCGATACACTCCACTCTGCTCGCTTTTAAACTTGCAGCGTGTTTGCTAYGATGCCTTTGGGGTTCAGCTTCAGTAGTTGTGGATCTGCAGTGGCCTCATTTTGCTTCCTGAGGTTTCGTGAGGAAATTCCAGCAGTACAGATCGGCTGACAGGATCTGTCCTCGTCACAGTTTATAGTTGCTTGCTTGGAAAAAGACCTTGTGTCGGGGAGCTGTGAACCACCCAGCGCAGGCCTCTCTTTTTTTTGTTGTTGTTCCTGCCATTCATGTCCGCTTACTGATTACACCATGTTACATCCCATGTAAGAGAAGTCCCTCCTTCCATTTATGTTGCATGCGCAGCAAAATTACAGCCATATAAACATGCAGTCAGACGCACATGTTCTGAAGCCCAGCCAAAGGCTTCTATAATACCAGTAAACTGAGCCTCACGCCTCCGAGGTTAGCTGGTGACTGATGGCACCTGTCCACTGCAACGAGACGCTCATTGTTTCAATCCCTGTCTGAGAGGAGCTTAGCCAACACCAATTGGCCTCACAGATCATTTCACCTCTGAATTAGGCCCCTCTCAAAGTTTGTATGTAAAAAAAGATGTGTCGGCAAATAATCCCTTAAGGGCACTGGTAATGCACATTTGTGTAGCAGAAGTGAACGTGATATTGGTTCTGGTTAAGTACTGTACTCGAGGCCACCTAGAAACTAGGCCTCTTATAATCCTGTCCAACTATAAATATTGGAAGTCGTACCACTTGATTGTTTTAAAAGCAGCAGATGTGGCAATTAACACCACCTTATAAAGCTCTCTGTATATTTGTTTTACTGTTAACAAATGTTCCCACAAAACTGACCTGATTGTGGGAATGAACATTAGTGAAATGGAGAGATTTGATAATCTCCTGTATACAATTAAAGGGTATTCTCTTTTTAAAWTTTTTTTAAAGGGTATTCTCATTGGAGACCCATCAGATATTTTCAGCTGTAACCTTCAAGCTCCAGCTAAATCAATACATACAAAGAAATCAAACCATAAATTGTCCAGAAATGAAGTTATTTGTAATAATGTGGAATGGCGCAGGGAAAAAGTATTGAACACATGAAGAAAGGGAGGTGTAAAAAGGCACGGAAAGCCAAGACACCAGCTGAACTCTCTCAGTAATTAGAAAGCAAGCCTGCCCCTTGTCAGTGCAAGTTAATTTCAGCTGGTTCAGTCCCAAATGATGGCCAGGTATCACACAAGAACCATC